GTGGTGTCTGACATGAGCGCGTTGTTGTCAGCTATCTCCTTCTCACTTGTCCGATTTTGTCGCCATTCGTGCAAGCAACTGGGCTAGACGAGTGAGACAAGGACAGGTCGTGGCGAAAACAACGGTCGTCTTCGCGGCCTGTAACGCGATGTGCAACCCTTGTACCGCAGTGAGGACCTTCTCGACGTGAATAAGAGCGAGCCCGCAGTGGTCGCATTCGCCAGGGCGTTTAAACAGAGCAATCTCTTTTTGCATCGGATATTCGAATCTGAATGCCAGTGATTGAAGATGCATGAAGTTTGCTTGCCAGACGGTCGAGACGATGTAATCGTGCGGCAACAGGGCGAACAAATCGAAGGCGTCATCTCCTCCGAGCGGTGACTTTGGACTGCGGCTGAGAATGCAACGCATTGCCGAACTTCCAGTGACTAAAAGCCTTGGGAGCATCCAATACAAGTAGTAGGTACACGCCAGTACTTCCATCCTCCTAATGAGGTGTCCATAGGCTGCTGGAGGATGTTGCACGTGTGCACATTTCTTATCTATGTCTTCTTCGATAGTAACCTGGAACACGTTTCGCATATAATACGTCTCCAAAGCGAGTGCGGTGAATTCGCGGTTCCGAGTGCCGATGATGGACGTAAGCTGTTCTGCGAAGAGACGAGAGTGTGCAATCGAATCAATCCCGTTGGTTTGATCAAGGTTATGAGCCAAAATCTCCACCTTCAACTCATCTGGAAGCCGCGACCAGCCGTGGAAGGTAGTAGGCGGTTTGGTGGCGGGATCGTCCATGTTGCTTCAGTTGCGCTGAAGAGGAATCTATAGGCCGTGTCAGCTTTTGAATAGAACAGAATAATCAATGAGCTATCGCACCGACGATGTAGACGAGCACTCACCTTGAGATTGTGTTAACGCGCAGACTGTGTGCACTCAAGGATTCGCGCTCACTAATGTGATTGTGAGCCTCGTAGATCCGTATGATGTGGTCTCCTAACCAAGATTCTGGGGCGCTCAGAATCAAGGCAAAGGGTGTGAGAAACTGGCGAAGAGGTGGGTGGTGTTATTTACTGTAGTTGCCAAGCCTAGCTAACCCAGGACTGTGCGCTTCAGGTTGGGAAAGAGCAAACGCTGTACTAGAGTCACTGAAATCTTGAAGAGCACTGTGGAATTCTTCTGCTACATGATCGTACATCACACGCGAGCTATCCCTTACAACGCCTCCAGAATGCGCACATCGCTCATCGCTTCAAAGGGTATCGTCTCGCTTCCCGCACCTTGCAACGCCCACTGCAGGGTCTTCTCTACCGCACGTCTACCTGTGTGCTCAAGAGGTAGCCTACATGACGTTAGGATATGCTTCCTCAATACGGGTATTCGGGTTGACTCACCAATGGCCTGCCCCCTTGATAATCACGACCTGACTTCCCTTGACCAGATAGTCGCGAGCGTTGTCAAACGAGAGCCGTTGATTGAATGCAGGGTCAAACTGTCCCATCATGAGTGTCGAAGGGGCCTTCAGCGCGCCCTGTGGTGCCATACTGGACAGGGTGCCTGGTGCAGACAAGGTCTGCGAAGAAGCAGCTTCAGAGGAAATGTTGTACAGCGCGGCAGTAACCTCGAGCGACTTTTCCCACTTGCCGAAAGCCAGGCTGTCGCGATAGATGTGGATCTTCTCGGACATGCCGCGGTCGCCTACTCTGCTCTTGACAGAATCGCCGTATCGTTCACCCTTGTCGTTCGCCTTGTCTAGCTGGGCACTTCCGGGTCCAGTAGAGATTGCCATTGCTTCAGCAGCTTCCGTAGGTTCCAACACAGCAGCAGCCTTGCCCTTCTTCGGTGTGCCTTTGCCGAACTGGTGGAGAACACGCAGGAAGAAGTAGTTGCCAAAAGTCGCGAAGACGTTGTGGAGAGGCCAGGGTAGATGGAATACGAAGATGTAGAAAGAGCTTCGGAACTGTCCAGCCACAGGGCCGAGTGCGTGTAACCCATTCTTCAGCAGACGGAAGTTGAACGGAGAGTGTATCCATGTCCTCAGCATTTGCTTCGCCAACAAGATCCTGTTCGTCGCGTTCGAGTGTAGTAGAGCTGTGACGGCGCCGCCTGTGATGATCCAGTGGTCAGCCAGGACATGTGCCTCGGAAGCCAGCCGGCCAGCAATGACCGCACCCCAGTCGTGCGACACTACCACTGCCTTCTTGCCTTCCGACAGGAACTGCTCTCGTATGCCAACAATGAACTCGGTCAACACCTCGAGCATTTCGTTCGGGCCGTATGCGGACAGACTGTCGGAGCCGCCATAGCCAGGAAGATCGACGGCTATCAAGATGGAGTCCTTTTGTAGGGAAGCGGATTGGAGTAGGTGGCGCCAGATGAGGTAAGAGTCGGGGAATCCTGGTCTTTGTTAGTTGCGTAGTCCATTAAAGTTTGGTACCTGCATGACTTTGCTTAGAGAACACATACCATGTAGAAAGATGGTAACATTCTTCGGTGGTGATGATCCGGTGTCCTGGTTAACGACATAGTGCAGGCGGGTACCGTTGGTGGTCTTGTAGAAGGCATGCTTGAAACCTGGTAGAGGCTCTCGGTCAAGACCCCAGAAACTCTCTTGCGCAGCAGCCAACGCGCGCTTCTCCTCGTCGCTATCTTTCGCCCAGAGCGCCCCGTTCTTCATGACTGCCATGGTCCATACTCCGGCAAGGCTGAACAGTCCAAACCCAAGTTTGAAACCGCTCCAGGCCAGACTCCCGAGTTTGTCTGCCATGTTGGCGTTTTGCCTGGATATGTGTCGCAGTACAGCTCTGCTCCGATTTCTCCAGTTCAGGCACTCAAGGCAAGTTCGTGCGCATGTGTTGGTGGTGGTTGTAGTTGAGCGACGGTCCTGTCACATGTAGCGCGAAAGTAGAGTTGAGAAAGTGCGCTCAAAAATCAAGGTTGGCTGGTATCCACCCCCGCATGCTGGAAGCAAGAACATAGTCCTGACTGTAGCGGTAGCCCCAGGGGCAGATCGCGATGGCGAAGCAGATGACCCGCGAAACCACGCGGCAGAGACGATCAAGGGTCCTGTGTGTCCATGGAAGCTGCAGTGATGATCGTTGAGGTATGACGCTATTGGCCATAGCTTCTGCTATGCCGCGGACTGACGCAGTCTGATCGGTCGCGTAGCTTCGTCCCCCGGTTCAGGGTGCAGTTGCTGGTCGCCTGGGCACCGGGTTAGGGCGATGCGCGTGCTCTGCGCATCATTTAATTTATGCTTGAGTTGTCACCACTGAGAGCTGGGATATCGTGGGTCTACTCGTCTATCTACGAGATTGTACGCGCAATGCTCGTACGTCTTTAATGGCAATCATGGCATGTGCTCTTATCTTGGATGGGAACAGCAGCCATAGTAACATCTGACGTGTGCGCATAGCGATATCCAATATCGAGGTCCTGCCCTATTGTGCACAATAGCTCGCTCACCTGGGACTCAACGCAGCGCCCCCAAAAACTTTGACATTCCAATGTCGGGTATCATAACAACTCCATCGCAACCTAGCACAGCGACTCCAACATCCACAGGCACAGTGACTCTCAGTTCTCATCTCCTCTTCCCCTTGACCCTCTCCATGACCCTCAACTCGGCACTCCTCTGCAGCCTGAGATCTTCCAACTCCCTCTCAATCCCTCTGTTCTTCTCTACAAGCTCTTTCCTCTTCTCCATCCTCTGCTTAGCCTCCTCCAGCTTGTGCCTCACAACATCTTCCACCACCCTCTCCAGCTGCCCCGCATCCTCGATGCCATGCTCTCTAATGAAGCGGTCCGCGAATTCTTCGATAGTGTGAGGTGATGGCCCTGGACCACCTGTATGATATCCGTTTTGGTGCGTCATGTAAAGCCCAGGCACGGCGGAAGGATGTGTACGTAGGTGGGAGGAGAGTGAGATGGGCAGTTGCGACGAGGAGATTGTGGGAATCTCGTCTGACGGCTTTCGCGGCGAGGGCTGGGGTGGTGGGTTGAGTATGATTTCCATAAGACTGTTCTCAAATGCCTCGTCGTATTGTACTGTGGATGGCGAGAAGTCGACCATGGGGGATGTGAGTTCGGGCTCGTCGCGTGGTGTGAGGGGCGCGTTGCCCATTATCGTGTCGTGGTCGCTCATGTTGTCGTCTTCGCGGTTGTAATTAGCCATGCGACGCGTGATGGAGAGAAGCAAGGTGTTGCGATCCGAAGTTTGTTGAATTGAGGGGATCCGTCTCGAGGCTGTCGCGATGATGGGGCTGATGCCGCATGACTAAGCCCAAGTTCCGCAGCACCTCCGCGGTCGCGACTCGCCCAACTTTTGCCTACCAAGCCCAACACCAACCCAGTCGCACATCTCCAAACAACCGACCGAACTCCGTACATCATGGCCGACAAACTGCGCGCGCAGCAACAACTCGAGGCTCTCCAGGCCCGCTACATCGGTATCGGAAGCGCAGACACTACCAAGCACGAATGGACATCCAACATCGCGCGCGACTCGCTCTCGAGCTACGTCGGCCACCCGCCTCTTCTACAGTACATGAGCATCGGACTGGGACAGCCGCGCGAAAAGACTAGACTACAGTTACTAGAGCGCATGGTCAGGCCTGTCGGGCCTCCGCCTGAGGTGAGTAATGGAAATGTTGAGTTTTAGAAGTAATGAGCTAACAGGAAGTAGCAACAAGATTGATCGGGACACTCTAGAACGACAGACTTGATTATCGAGACATGCGAAGAACGAAGATCCAAAGCGAAAGCCGCCTTCCATCCCCAGCACGAATGCGCGCGAGGCCGGCTCGTGGATGAAGAGGAACAGATGGGTACATGCTGCTTGTCTATGGCTATCAAAGCCGATACTATGAAGTCGTTCAGTAGCGTAGCGCACGCTGAGTGCCGATAGTGAGGTGTACACACCTCGGCCTCTCTCAAGAAACCCCAATTGCCACCATAGCCGGGGCCCAAAGTCTTTCTCCAACTCGTGCTTTCCCATGAGTGACTTCTCAATCGCTATCGCTAGCGCTTCCTGTTGGGCCATCATCGTCGTCGTCTTCCACCACGTCACCGCCCATCAGCATGGAGACTTCACCCTTTTGCAGCATGCTCTTCAGCTCAGTGTTCCTCGGGTCCACCAACTCAATGGGCTTGAGCTTCGCCTTGTTCCTTATTCTCGGATCGCATCCTGCGTCTAGAAGCATGGCCACGATGGAGTGTCCGTGGGGCCAGACGGACTTTTCGAGCGAGTTGACGTAGCGTACGGCTTTGTGAAGGGGAGTATCCTGCTCCATGCGGTCGATCTCGTCGATCTCAAGACCGTCTTGGTCGAGAAGCATGTCGATGACTTCGACTGTGACAGATTTAGTCAAATCATGCCTCGCGTGGCGTGCGACAAAGACGTCCTAGTGCTGCGCCGCTGGGATAGATACTTACAGCTTCCGTATGTTGCCGCGACGTGAAGGCAGCCGTTACCCACGCCGTCGCGTGTGTTGTTCAATGTTTCGGCGACATGATCCTCTGGCTTCTTCCCTGATTTCGAGGCAGCAGCAGCAAGGTCTTTCAGAGTTTCCTCAAGCAGCTCGGTGTTGTTGCGTCGGCACGCTTCGAGGACGAGTTCACGGGGGGAAGCACCCTACATATTGGTCAGCAGTGGCAGGCGCTGGATATGCATGTGTATGCACCTCTTCGTCCGCCATGGTATGTGGTGTTGAGGATGCGGAGGGTGACTGGGCAGGGACGGCGGTCCAGTCAGGTACGCGTGAATGTTTCGAGCTGTGGTTTGGCGGGGTACTCGGAGGTGCTAACGGAAAGCGAACAGGGCAGGGCGGTGTGAAGAAGTGAAGTATCTCTCTAATACGGCGATAAGGATGCAGGCGACGTCGACAGGCCAGCGTGCATAAGCCCCAATCTGAGACAGTCCGCTCCCAAGTGCGCGTCGCCGGTGGCTTTTCGCTGCTACACACTCGCCCCGCACTTTGCCGTTCCCAGCCCTAGCGGGTCAGGGTCCGTCATAACTTTTGATCTTCTTCGCGCTCAGCTTCACGCGTCTGACTGCCTTTTTTCCACTGCCGCCCACCATGTTGCTTTGTAAGTCCCATAGTCACATTTCCGGATGTTCCGCTTGTATCTGCTACATGGCCACATCCACAGCTCCACGTCCCAGTCCAGCCACAGCTAACAGCCACAGTTTGCCCAACATGCAGCAATATGCTGCGCGTCTCCAAAGTACCTCCCGGCGATCCCACCACCGAAGACGCTGTCGGCCAAAACCGTTTCGAATGCCTTACCTGCCCCTACCACTTCGTCATCAACAAACGCTACTACGAGCGAAAATACCTAAAGAAGAAGGAGGTCGAAGACATCTTGGGAGGAAAGGGCGCTTGGGATAACGTTGACAAGACCGAAGGTGCGCTCCGATATTTCAGCTGCAACCAGGGCCGCAAGATTGCGCGATCTTGGGCGCACCTGCTACACCTGTTGGCATCGCTGACAAGTACACAGTACAATGCCCGAACGAGAAGTGCCGGAACCACGAAGCATACTGGTACCAGCTGCAGATTCGAAGTGCCGACGAGCCCATGACTGCTTTCTACAAGGTACGTCACATACCCGACTTCCTCAGAAACCCCACTGACCTGTTCCAGTGCACCCAATGCGCGAAAGAGTGGCGAGAATGATCTGCGAGTCCTGTTCAAATATCTAAGGAGTTTGGAAGCGGAGTTCTTGTCTTAGTATACCCCGGTTGCATTTGGTGAATGAAGTTCATGTTCTCTTTTGACTTGCAGGTGCCAGTCGCTGTGAAAGGCTCAGGATGATTCAGATTCCCGACCCCGAATCGGTTCATACTCGTGGTGATCATCTCACGACAACGTCGATGCATCTCCATCATCGACCCGCGCGAACCAAAACTATGCCCCAGTTTGAGTCACAGGCGCATCCTGCACTGGCTGGCCCGTGCCGCAGGGTGGACGACCTCGCAAGATGGCGCGGATTCCTACCTATTCCTCTCTCTCCCATCGTTGCTTTCGGGCCTCTTGCAAAAGCATGCAACTATCTCCCGGCTCTGCTGATAGACCTTGCCTCATCAACCTTCATCACACCCGCAAGCCCTACCTACCACCGAGGTCGGGAACCTATGCCAGGATGATGGCTCAAGGTACCGACACCGAACAACCAGTCATACCAGTTTCTCGGTCATTCCACGCCTGGGCGCGACTTCCTGATGAGCTCAAGTGCGAAGTTCTCTCGCACAATCTAACCCTGGATGGAAGAATCGACAAGAGGAAACACGCCCAGTGTCTACAGTCGGACCTGTTCCCACTCTTGGCCACGCGCAACCGTCATCTAGCCAACATCGCACAAGAAGTATATTACAACAAAAATGTCTTCGAGCTGTGCATCGGGTGCCGCATGCAAACAGGCGACGTCGAACTTGGCAAGGGCTATTCGTTTTCCCCTGAGGACCGCATCAGCGGTCTCTGGTGTCCCAAGCCACATACGGCTGCCATGATACGTCATCTGCATATTGTGGCGATGAACTGCAAGGTCGGTATAGAGAAGGGACTTATATGTGCCTCGCACTCGACGACTTGGATGTACCTTATAGATCTACCTCCCCGAGACTATTGGATTAACGGTACCAAAGATGATGCACCTCGCGCCAATATAAACCCTGGATGGCAAGAACGCTTCGTCAACCTACATACCCTTGGGATCGAGTGGCGTCTTGAACGCGATATCATGCCCGGATGCTTTCTCGAGGATGGCATAGGAGACACGTTGAGAGCTTGCATAGAAAAATCTGGGATACGTCTCCGGGCACCGAAGGTGGAGTTTACGGTCCGTGATACTTACAATGGCCGCCGCTTCTTGTGGCACTATCATCCTTGCGAGCAGGATCATACCGAAGTCTTTCAACATCTAAAAGACATGATTATGGGCAAGGAGCCTTGAGTCATGCTACCAATCATCTGGAATTGCAAGACATGCGCCGGGTGGTGTTGAACATGTAGGATGAACAGACAAGCTATAAGTTTAGGACCTGTAATAGTTTCCTCTCAAGTATTCGCTAGCCGCTCTTTACTGTCTAGAATGCTAATTATACATTCTCATTGATTGGAACCTGGCTTGGCTGGTATGTTTGTCCCTTCAAGAAGCTAATCATTCTTCTGGATTGGGACGCCCAACACGTTGGCCACAAGCGGCCATAACAACAAATCCCAAAACCAATAGCCCTCCTCATTCAGATGCACATGGTCGTCAAACATGTCCCCGCTGAAAAGGTGCCTCGTTTCATCCCACTTCACTCTGTCCTCGCGATCCCCTTCATCTTGTACTTCAACCGTCTGCGACTCTTTCTCTTTCTCCAACCGCTCAACCCGAAGTGCCTCGTTGATCTCTCCAGCGACCTCCTTGAGCAGATCATTATTCTGATCCACAATCGCATCAGGTATATCCAGTCTATACAACATATCGCACGCCAACACCTTACTCCCCGGCGCAATCCTCAGGCAAGCCTCCACCAACACTCTCCAGCTCTCCACATCCTGTTTCCGGAACGCACGCTTCTTCTGTAGATTGTTCGTCCCGGAAGCCAGGATCCAGAGTTTGATGTCGCATACGTCTTTCTTCGCCGCCTTGAGCATGTCGTAGAGACCCTCTGTGAGTCGGTATGCGACGTTTTGGTTGCTGTCGCCGCCTACGCCGGCGTTGAATGCGACTCCAGTGTCTCCGAGCTTGCCGATGTCCGTGGTGATGCCGCTGGTTTTGAAGCGCTCGAGCATGGAGTTGCCGAGGTAGACGACGTTGATGGGGCATGTGTTTGAGAGGTTTGGTACGGGCGCGTCTAGTGCGGGGGGAGAAGCATCTTCGCTCGGTGTAGGTAACGGGGTATCGAGTTGAAGACGCGCGGTAAGTTCTGGTACGTGTACTTGGTGGTGCGTTTGGCGCGAGCGTTCCTTGAACTTGGCGAAAGATCGAAGCTTTTCTAGGAACTCGGCATCGGACTGGTGCAGGAAGTTTGTCTTCGCATCTGTAGGTATGCTGGACGCTGCATTGCTCTGTTGGGCGTTGGAAGGCATTTTCGGATTGAACTGAGATGTTATGGTTTTGCGAGGCTTCAACGGCGTGATGTTTCGTTGGTGTAATTTGTTCAAGTAGAAGTTGAAATGAGAGCAGGATGTATGCGCACCGCTCTGACTGAGGTGAGCGTGGGAGGCGACTGCTAATCTGTGGTTAAGGGTGGAGAAGGCGACGAATCAGCGCGTAGATATCAGCAACCGTTCCTGCTTGCAGCTAGATTGCGGCAGCAGGAAAGGGCGTCACAGTTTCAAGGGCTGATGCATTGGGGGATCAATGAGAATACCTTCGTGATCATACATCTGCGCAGCTAACTGTATACACGTAGAAGTTCCCTCACTCGCTTGCCAAATATGCATCTCGTCTAGATTTTTTTGGGTGAGACGAAACTTCCCCACGTCCAATAGCGTACCGCTCCATCTTTCAAGTTCATAAGAAGAAGCGCATCATATGTCCACCACCACGTTGCTACTTCCGAACTGGATAGTCTGCCCACATATGGTGCCCATACGGCGAGTCCTTCGGCCGAGTCGACACAGTCTTGATCGTTACACGGTACTGGTATTGATAAACGCCCGCATGGGCAATACCAGTGACGAAATTCGACCTCTCTGTAACGTATTGAGACCTCTCGTCTATGTCTTTGTCGTCAAATATACAGAAGCGTTGCCATCGTTCTTCTCGAGTTCCGTTGGCTTGCAGGTCAAGCTGCTCACAATAAAGTGATTCCACCGCTTCGATATCGACATCGCTTGATCCGAGTATGATTGACGTGATGGTCAGATGGCGCGTGGGGAAGTGGATTGGGCCGAGTCGCTGGAAATAAGCCTCGAAATACGACCTCGGTTCGTCGTCCTCCTGGTCGTCGAAGAACAGAGTCTCCGGGTCGAGGTTGACGGTCAAGTAGTGTAAGTTCGGAAATGTTGACCCATCTGCGATTTCCCTCAATAATTTTAGATGGTGACGTCTTTTGTAATCGAGGTTAATCTCGAGACAGCGAACAAGCGGCCTTACAACAGGTGGCGGACAGTGGCAAATATTCCCATGCGAAGAGGGGGTGTCATTGGACAGTATCACCGTTCGATTGACCCCATAGAAAGCTTCCAGAACAAGGTGCTTGATTTCGGGAACAGAGAGGAGGGGCATCACTGTCTCTTTCAGCAACCGCCTTGTCTCAAGCGTACGGTACTGGAAAACATGGCTGTCGAAACAGTCTTGGGGATAACAGAGATAATGGAGGTCGCATTTATCGAGCCAAGCGCAGGCAGTCACGGCTGTTGGAGTGTAGACGGTGTAGCGCAAGATGAGCAGCTTCAGCTCTCCAGGGAGGCTGCGGAACCCTCGGAGGAATGAGTCGGATCCGGTTGTCATATTGGTAGTCGTAATTCTTGGTTGGGTGATGAGACTCGTATGGTGTGAGGGCGTTGATGGTATGAGCGGGATTTATAATATAGAGTAGTGGCCTGAGAGCGGGACGCAAGGCAGGTACCACCTGAGGTAAAGTCCGTGCACCGCGACTCACTAGGCAGGTGCACTTATCGTTCCGCGCGTTCGTTATATAAATTATATGCGATTGCTAATCGTTTTTTTAGTGTTAAAATTAGTAGTTTAGTGCTGCAATGTTGCTTCTCAGATAGGTGGGCGGTGCCTGGTACCATGGGATGGTAGGAAAATTCAGTCGACAACTACAGTACAGTGGTGACTCTAGGCAGATGCAGAACTGGCAGTGTGCAGTGAAACGCTTCCAAAGTTCTAAAATGGCAGTGAGACTTCAGTGGGTTGATACCAGGTAGGCGTTACCAGGCCTGATGTGTTTTAACAATGGCTTTTCACAAATACCTCGGCGATACGCCTTTCTTGAAAATGTGGTATTGCGCCCAAGATCTGCGCAATAACGACCACAATGTGAATAGCTCCTGGGAAAGACGTTTCTTGTTGAGGTTGAAGATTATTGTATACATGACAATCAAGACGCCACCGCCCATGTCCAGGACGTGCTCTCTGACGACTCGATGAAATTGATGCTCCATGACACCAGCCCGTATAAACTCTGGAGCCTGTCCTCATAGCACCTTCATATGTTCCACGCTTCTGTCACTCTGCCACGTCAATCCGTCGCAATTCCGACAAATATCCCTCGTTCAAGCAGTCAAAATGCGCCTCAGAGGAGAAACACCCCAGATAGTGGTCCGAGGCCTGCTAGTCCTGGAGACGACTCTCACGTTGTATAGTGACTCGGAATCGGCGGTCCTGTCATACCGATAATACCACGTTCGATCGTGCGCTCGCAATGACCGTCACAGCGAGTGCGCTCATGCGCATGCTCGACTTCGACCTGGATGTTCTTGGCCTGCAACAAAAGGCGCGCCTGCTCTGGCAGTCTCTCGAAGAAAACGCTTGAACCTTCTGGAAGACAGCAAGGCAAGCGAATCACAATGCGGAGTTGTTTCAACGAGGTGAAGTATCTTCCCCAGCCAGCCTTGGCCTCACCGTCATTTGCCCACAAGTGCGGCTCCTGAAACCTGCCTATCAGAAACATTGACGTTGTGTGCCCGGCTCTGAAGGACGCGCGGCGAGGATGAGCTAGGACATCTAGTTGCGAGCCTTGGCAACCGATGCAGTAGAATGGCTTAAAGGGTAACTCGAAAGTGTGTATTTCGATGTGTAGCTCGAGCTTCGTAACAAGATGTGCGATGGCCTTAGATGGATAACGGAACCACGATGGGGCGCAATAAGGTTGTCGTAGATAGCGCGCAGTTGGAATGCCTGTCCGACGTGACTCGGGAATAACTAACCAGGCCAACTTGAATGTATTTTCATGGTAATAGATCTGGAAAGCAATACTACACAGTTCTTTATTGGCAAGCGCGGTGTTCAGAAAGCGGGGTCCGTAGATAAAGTCATGGCTACGACAGGTGACACTCCAGGGAAAACGGAGATGGTGTCGAAAGATCTCAAGCTTAAGCTCCTCCGGAAGCTCAATGAAGCGATCGAATTTGACATCAGTGTCGGAAGAAGTAGTGGAGAGGAGTAAGTTCTCAGGCGAGTCCTTAGGAACGTCGATGGCGGGTGGGAGATGGATCACCGAGTCTTCGGCCATGTTGTCTTGGGCGATTTCGAATCTTGGCTTCAGGTTCGAGGGACTGACGGGGTGGGAGGTTGATTGGGTGCGTACTTAGCAGCTAGGTAGCTTGCATATGTTGTCAGTAGAGCTGCTGGATGCCCACCAGTATTGAAGTGGACAAGGAGCTCAGTCTGTGCGCCCTCTACGGTCTAATCCACTTCAAAACAACGCTGCTTGACCAATCGGATGGGCAGTACCACGACGTCAGCAGTCGGACAGTTTCTCAGGCAACGCAGTGACGCTTTTGCCGAGGAAGGGGACAGTGCCAAAGGTCTCGTGCGATCTACAGTAATCCCGATCCCCACTCGGCAGCGGCTAAGTTCGCTCAATCTACATCTGCTTCATTATCAATGGTAAGCTCTACCATACCGTTGACCGAACATGTGTCTGGCCGAATGAACCAGCGAGCGGCGGCCATGCTGACTGTGCCTGCACTCATTGCCAGTGTCGCAATGTGCGGCTTCGGTAGCTCTTCTAGCACAGCCTGGTTGTCTCTCGGAAAGTCCGCTGCCTTTGCAGATCGCGAGTAGAAGATACGAGATGACAGAAAGGGTACATAAGTACTGAGTCGGAAGAATCGCGGGTGATGACTCTCGGCCTTCGAGGTTGATGTGTCAGATCGTTGTCTTGATACCTTCTTGACATTGACGTCCTGAGTCTGCACATTGTCACGAGCTTTCTTTGGAATGACGAGCGACTTTCGGGTCGGATTTTGATTCTTTCTGTGGTCGACAGGTAGGGTTGAAACAGTGTTGTCGGCAACAAATGGACTGACAGAGGCTACGTCTAGATCCATAACGCAAGGTTGCCAGCTCTCATTGAACTCCACGGGCTCGAACGATGCGCCTTTGTTGCGCATATAGCTCTGCTCGATGACACCAGAGCCTCGCAATAATGTTGGCTGTGAAGCGCCATGAAAGTTGTGCAAATGCTGGAGGAAAGCGTCTTCTGATGTGTAAAACTCTTGATTGCACGAGCGATACCGATGGTAGTTCTGCGCATGTTCGACGTGGAACGTTCGATAGCCGGAGCCGCAAAGATGACAATGGTGAGCTTTGGCCGAAGGAAAGTCTGGACAGAGGGGCGGACCTGCATTGTCTGCAGCAACGTCGTCGAAGCTCCGGAGAAATCGACAGCTCCACACACGACAGTGAGAGTGTTCGTTCATATCTTTGACATCCGTAAAGACCTTTTGGCAGTATCGGCATCGGAAAGATTCGTATGGTGTAGTCGAGTAGAGGTTCTCCAAATGGTTTTCCTTGCGCTCGCTCCACCACACAGCACGGTCAAGCTCACGCGCGACGAGGTGCTCAGCAACATGCTCACATCGTTCGGACCAGTCTTTTGACTTCTTTCCGCAGAAGCCACAATGAAGCATAGGATCGTCAAGCTTCATTGGAGCTCCGAAGCGACGCCACTTCATGGCGAGGTCCTTGCAACCAAAGTTGTGGCCTTCAGCGGCTAGTAATCGAGCTTGACAGCCGGTACGTACGGACGGATGTTTGGTGTTGGCGAAGTGAACATGGTGCAGATGCTGGATGAAGTGGTCGCGGCGATAGAAAGTTCGTTGGGATTCGGGCTTGCTTCGGCATTGTTGGTACTTGTGGCCAGCCAGGTGAGCATCGTCGGGATGGGCCTGGCCGCAGAATGGACATGCTTCAAGATTTTCGGATGACTTTGTGTCACAGCAAATCCAAGTGGTTCGAAGCGCGTGGACAGAGTCTTCGTGGCGTATCCATTCATACTTCGTCTTGAATGCCCGCGGACAGAAAGTACAGAAAAAAGGCAGATCTTTCTGGGGTTCACCTGCACTGTTCACACCGTTAATGGCTTGGCGAGGAGATTCTTTCCACGCCATCCGACGTCTACCTCGGCGGCGATCACGACCAAAGGACGAAGTTTTACTGCGGCTACCGCTGGAAGACACTGTGTATGTTGTGGGTGCAGTGCCTTCAGAAGAAGCAATCGAGGTGATGACGGAACCTCTGCGACCTTGTCTGGGCTCAGACCATCCACTATTAGGAATGCTTTCGTTGAGAGACTCAACATCAACGGCAGCCTGTACTGCAGACAGTTCAACAGCTTCCTCTTGGTACGACTGTGCAAGGTACACCGCCAGAGGCGGCTGCGGCAATTGATTGGTGTCATCTGCTTGCTTCTGGAGGCTTTCCAGACTATCTTTTGACAGCTTTGTCTTCAGAGTGCGATTGCTCTGGCCTGAACCATCCTTTACAGCGGGATGGGAATCTGAACAGGTAAGTCAAAGCATGATCTCATGGAATGGGATACGACTAACCTCCACACTTCTTCCTGGCTCGGGTGTTATTGAACCAGTTGCGGACTTTCTTCACGTCGAGATTGGCTTGATGTGCGATGATGTCCAATTCCCACGCGCAGGGGTACGGATTGGCCGCAAATTCGTCCTCCAACACCTGCCTTGCCTCAAGTGGAATACGGCACTGAGGACCTTTACGTTTGGCTGACGCTGGTTTCCAAGTGGAAATTGAAGGTTGTTGCTGGGATGCGGCCGATCTGACTGGTAGCTGCTCCAGTGCAAGGGAGGCATCGGCCGGAATCATTGAATGATCGAGAGCTGAAGGACGTAGCCCAAGCTGAGAGTGCGGCGCATCAATTAAGCTGCCTTCATCATCGCATTGCATTAGCGCAAGTGATGACAATGAAGGCGGGAGAGCGAGATCCGTCGCATCGCGGATCCTGTGGTCCTTCGCATGTTCCATATCAACCGTTTGCCAATCGACGTCTGCTCCTGAGTCTACACTCGTTTCAACCATAGACGTCGCAGCATATGTTGTTGGGTGAGACGTTAGCCATTGCTGGTTTATATCGCCAGAGGAGAGATCGTGTGCCACGTCGTACATGGGCACGTCGAACAATTGGAGAGTATTGTCGGCCGCTGGTTCCAAAGCGAAGTCAATAGCCGTAACATTGTCTGGCTGAAGGTATGACACGGTTTGCTCACTCGAAGCATGGGTGTGTTCGACTTCGTTGTTCTGTTCAAGAGCGGCGAAATCGAAGAAATCGTTCATCCTGTCGAGCGCGTCGGGATCCATCGTGACGCGTCTAGTGCGGCCCTGGTGGACGCGCTGAGAGTGATTGATCCTGGAGCCAGGCAATTTATCATTGGCAGGTCAATAGGTCCGAATCGAAAAGAGAGACATCTGATGTTTGGGGGTCGCATGACAGAACGTGGAAGCCGGCTTGACGCTGATGAGGTGGAAGGTGCTGCGCCGTCCGTCGTCTATTGATGAACTGGGTGCGCCCGGGCGATCCTCCAGGCAGCCAACACTAGTCAGCTCATGCTGTGTGACGAAGAGACTGGCGTTTTCCTACGATGATAGCAAGCCATTAAGACAATCTTGACAAGTAAACCTGACGGCACGGATTATCAGGATCTGCTCACTCGCGACTTTGATGCTGATATTAATCACGGTCGGCATCTGTCCGCGTTCAGGCCGGGAAGGCGCCACCCTCCGATGTCGTTAGCGTGACTTGTTGACCCACCGAAAAGTTCCTCCACCCGAAAAGCTCACGACATTCGCAACTCCACGCGCATTGATCGCATCCAACTTTCACAATGGCGGCCGAAGTACAACTCCTGCAGCCCTTGAAGCTGCCAAAGGGCCCTTCCACCCTTACGTCTGAGCAGAAGTACTGGAACTCATTCGCCTCGGAGCTCAAACTCGACCCTTCGCAACATTCCTCGCCCGTAACTCACATCTCGATACCGCCCCCTCAGCCCGCCAATACGCTTTCGGCCACCCAGGATCTCTTCGCAGTCACCACGGGATCGCGCGTCCAGATTTTCTCCTCCAAGAGCCGAAAGGTCGTCAAGACGATATCGCGCTTCGGCGTCGATGACGTTGCGCATTCGGGAAACATACGGCGCGATGGCAGGATTCTGGTCGCAGGAGGAGATACTGGTGTCATACAAGCGTTCGATGTCAAGAGCAGGGCCATCTTGAAGACATGGAAGGAACACAAGCAGCCCGTCTGGGTCACACAGTGGAATCCCACAGATCTTACTGGCCTGATGAGTTGTTCAGACGACAGAACCGTGCGATTATGGGACCTGCCGAGTGAGAAGAGCGTCATGAAGTTTGACGGGCATCAAGACTACGTGCGCAGCGGCACCTTCATGCCTGCGCAAAGTGGGCTACTCGTATCTGGAAGTTACGATCAGACGGTGCGACTCTGGGATTCGCGAGTAGGCGGAAAGGCGGTGATGGTGTTCAAACACGCTGCGCCCGTCGAGACTGTCCTCCCCATGCCGTCTGGAACGGCCGTCCTCGCAGCAGCCGACAACGTCATCAGCGTTCTCGACATTGTGGCCGCAAAGCCGATCCACATGCTGCGCAACCACCAGAAAACTGTGACCGCGCTCTCATTAGCGAACAATGGCGAACGCCTCCTCTCCGGTGCTCTTGACGGCCACGTCAAGGTCTTCGAAACAACAGGCTGGAACGTCGTAGGTGGGATGAAGTACCCTTCGCCCATCCTATCACTGAGCGTCATCCCGAACCAAAAGGAGGACAGACACATTGCGGTGGGTATGCAATCCGGTCTTCTCTCGATCAAGACCCATCTTTCCGGCGAGCAGAAGGTTCAGGCTCGTGAGCGAGAGAAGGAGATGAAAGCGCTTATGGAAGGCAAGATCGAAGAGTACGATAGGAGCAAGAAGCGGAAGCGCGGAAAGGGCTGGGAAAAGCGCATCCGAGGCAAAGACTTTACCGGCGAGAGCGCAGACATCGTGATCGAGGGCAACGCGCGGGGAAAGATCACGGCCGGACAGCCGTGGGCGCATGCACTGCGAAAGGGCATGTATGCGCAGGCGCTGGACATGGTGCTCGAATCAAAGGTATGCTTTCCATTCTCCTGTACACCCCTGAGACTAAGGCTAATATCTCTCAAGGACGCAAACGCTCGCAGCCAGTCCCTTACCCTCCTGACTGCTCTACGCCACCGCTCTGCTCTCCGAACTGCTCTCAGCAACCGCGACTCCGTAACGCTTCAACCCATCCTCCGCTGGTGCATAAAGAATGTTTCCGACTACCGCATCACACGTCTGACCACCGACGTCGCGCTCGTAGTCTTAGACCTATACGCCGACCAACTGGGCAGAAGCGAGGAGGTTGACGACCTAATCATGGCGCTCATGCAGCGAGTCAAGGTGACCGTCGAAGCAAGCCAAGACGCATGGAAGGTACGTGGCATGCTAGACATGCTTGTCAGCAGCGTCGGCGCAGTAGACGGCGTGGAAGCATGAGAATGGTAAAGGGATCTTTTATTTGCATAGCGAAGGCGTTCAGGATCTTGTCACATGTTCAAAAAGTTGAAAAGGCAGCAGCAGCCATGTACGTTATGCAACTTGGATGGGTGATAGAGAGATACCCGGATAAAGCGATTGGTATTGCTTTGGATGATGGGGAACGGTTGATCTTGAATGGTATATTGTACAAGCCAGTTTTGTTCCACCGGCAATATATGCTATACAATGAATTCGTACAATCGTTTACCACAGGCAGTATTGCCGTTGTGATGTGACGGGTCGGTCGGGAAGTGCGGTCCACAGCTTGCGGTTGTCGCGCTTCTTCTGAATCTCGTCTGAGATGCGCAAGCGCGTCTTCTCTTCCTTGAGAAGAACGGAGAAACCTGTCGTGCACTGTTAGCGCCCGATCCTCCGAAATAAAGTGTGTGACAAGCTCACTCGTCGTCCGGTGCTTCAGCATGTTGATAGCACCCCGCGCCCTGAACTCAGGGGTCTTCCAGCTCTGCCCGGGTCCCACCCACGCCTGGTCAATGTATATCTCGCTGGGATCGCGGACCACCTTCTTACTCCCATCCTTCAACTGGATCGTCGTGTCCTTGAAGAAAGGCACCTTGACCGGCTTCGCCTCCAGACTGCCATTCGTTTTCGACGTCTTGTAGTCCCAAGTATCCTTCGGTCTCCCCGCATCCGTAGCTGCTCTTTGCTTTTTCCAACGCGACACCGCAGCGTCTTCGCCAGCGAGACCCATGCCGCGGGCCGCAATGGCTTCGTTCTGCGCAATTTCGAGGCCCTTGATGACGTCGCGGGCCACACGTTTCGGGGAAAAGCGGAGTTGGACGAGGGCTTCCGAGACAGTCTTTCCGGCGATCTGGTTCACGACCTTCTGCAGCTTCTTGGTAGACGTAGGAAGGAGTTGTGACCTGTAGACTGACTGGCGTTCGGTACGGAGTAGCTTCTGCGCCTTTGTCATGCGGCCGTGACGCTTCACGCCGGAAATGACGAGTTTGCGCTCGAGACGCCTGCGGGCTTTCTGGTCGGGATCGAGTGACATATCCATGAGCTTCTTGTCCTCCTTAAGCGCCTCTTGTTGCTCTCCCTTGCGGTATTTCGCCTTGAGTTCGAGTTTCTCCTGTGGGCTCAGGTCTGGCCGCCAGCCGGGGATGTCGCTTTCGGGTGGGAAGAGGGAAGTTGGGGTTACGGCGAAGTCTCCTTCACGAGGGGTGGGGCGTGAGGGCGCTGCCGACGCGTCTGTTCCCTTCGCACCTGTTCGTTTTGCCCTCTTCGATAGGTAGTCTTCGAGGATCGGGTTGGTGAGGTCATCGTTGGTATTCTTGACCCCTCTGAACTCTTCAGTGCGATGAGCGCCTGAATAGACGGTATTGAAGAGGTCATCGTTGTCTTTCTTGCGCCCGAACGAGATATTGCGCTGCGAGATTGAAAGGATCGAGGTCAAGGGTATCCATTGGGTGTGTGGGCGCGCGGCGAGGGCTATTCAATGTTAGTCGTCATGGTGTTGTACCGCCCGGAAGAACGACTAGCGCTCCGATAGGTGCGGAGAAAATGGTGCAGGGAATCAATGTTCCCAGTAATAGCTTACCTGACTGCCCCAGCCGCCGTGAGGGTATCCGGGCGCTCATAGCGATGCTCGACACCACGGCGCTGCGGCGTTGATGATGCCAATGCTGTGAAGTGTCGCGGGAAATTCTGTGGCACGGCGAAAGGCTCCGCGCTGGCGCAGGGCGCTTGCAGGGGGTTGGCTTGGCAGCGGGATCATCATTGAACCAGAGCGATCAGAACGCAGAAGAAATGTGCAGGAGTCGTGTCGTCCCGCTCCTGTCCAGACCACCGTCGACTCTAGACTCTTGACCCCGTTGCCTGACGCGCATTCCGTGACGCGCCAAACATCGTGCTGTGCCGCCGCCAACTCACTCCGGGAGTCCGCATCCAGCTGCTCCGAGTCGCGACGTGCTCGCTCCATCATTACTCGATTAGTCGCAGGCCCAAGCTTGCCTGGTGCACCTAACCACCTTTTCTTCTAGACCGGGTGTAGGCCTTCTCACCCACGACGCCGACGAGGTCATCGCCCATCACACTCGCTATCCCCATCGCCTCGCGCCTCCGACGGTCCTTTTCGCGCCAAACGCCCGCCGTCGTCCCATGCCGCTCGTTACGAGGGACTCGATGCCTAGTAGTTTCTGCAGCTCGCGACCATAGGAAGAGAGAGCATCGACAGACGTCTGGCGCGCGTATAGCATTCAAGACAGCTGCCGGATCGCAGTGCGTGCCAAACGAGAGCATAGGGTCGTGAACGCTGTACACCATGGATATCAACTCGCTATTATCGCCGTCGGACTCGCCTGCGGGCACCCCAACACCACAAGCCGCCCCTACCATCCCGTCGCCGTCGCTACTCCGATCCCCGGGCAAGCGCACAAGACGCCAGATGCCATCGCGAACACCTTCGGGCCTAAGCCAACAGATCAGGTCCTCCCCGCAGCCGCCCCAGACGCTCCAACAGCGTGTGCCGTCCCCGGGATACGCCCACATCGCGAACGGCGCAAGAGGAGTACACAGCGCAATGGGAACGCCACAACAAATAGCATCGCCGCATGACGCGCGCATGACGACCCCGAACCCCATGTACCGCCAAACATCCACACCGGGCATGGACACTCTTGCAGGTACGTGCCCGCTTTCTTTGGGGTAGAGGCACAGTGCTGTAGACGGCCCCCATATGAGGGAGCCGCAGCTTAGATGCAGGGAGGAAAGAGCTACGACAAACGACGATGGGTCGCTAGCTCCTAGGGAATCTGCTAACATCTTTCAGACCTTGCCAGCATGCAGCAACAACAAGCTGCGCGCCAGAACTCTGTAGTCCACCAACGGCCTGTCACGTAAGTCCTTCATCTTTGCTGATTTTTCTCGTCCGCCCCATTTCTGAGCCGACGACTGCACCTGCATGTCCACAAGTAGCGCGCTTTGTGTTTTGTGGGGCAGGCAGTGACGTCCGGGTGTCGCGCTTGCCCGTGATCACGGGTTGCTGTAGCCTGTTCCGGCAGCCTAGTTTTGTCGCGCAAACTCCACCACCAAACACTGACCACTTGCCAGACTGCAACACCTCGGACAAAACCTCTCCGGCGAGTCCGTAGCTAGCATCATGTCCGAGGCCTCACCGCGACCGCGCAATTTCATCACTCGCTCTCTCGACCAACAGCACATCGACTGGCTCAACCAACTCGATAAAACGCTGCTGGAAAACCCATTCGACTACTACAGCCATGTTTCGCTCGTCACCATTCTACACCAAGGGCTCCAAAAACACCTCGCTTCGTTCGACTCCGACCCAAACGCGTACGACCCAAATGCGTACGAGTTGGTCCAGACTCTGCGCGATGCATACAAAACCATGTCAGACAAGTACCCGCTTGGCGAGCTCTTGTGGCATTACCGGCTGAACGACGAGAAGACTCTGGCCAAGGATGTGGAGCAGCGCATGGGTGTGCTCGAACTGCACAAGCAGGCAACACAAGAGGAACCTTACAGTGCAAAGCTTTGGGCTGCATACGGCGAGTATGTGAGCTACCTGGTCGCCTGCTCTTGGGAGCAAGTACCCCCAGAGGAGTGGTCTGAAGAGGAGAGGCTTATTGGTCGAGAGCTCTTCCAACCCCAACTGCTACTGGACGCGCTGCAAGAAGGTGCTGAGAGAGTCAAGTACAACCTCCAAGAGAGCAATCTCGTCTGGGACCGCTACCTGCAGGTTTTGGAAGAAGACCTCGAGCGAGGAGGCTTCAGCCAAGAGAAGGCGAAGAGGGTAGCCGCCATCTACAACGACCGCCTCGGCCAACCACATGCAACATGGGCGAACACCCTTAGCAGATACTCTTCTTTCAATTCCCGCTACAATCAAAGCCACTACGAGCAGGTTATGGATGAAGTGGTGCAAAAGAATACACACATCAAGCAGCAATACGCCAACCGCGAAGAGTACGAGTTCAAACTCCTGCAGGCTATCCAAGCAGGCGACCAGGCTGCAGAGTACACCGCCATGACACGCTACTTGAAATGGGAGAAGAGGACTATGGGTGTCTACAGCTTCCATCTCGTCAACGCACTTTATGAGCGAGCCACGCTCCGATTTCCCGTTGATCCTTCCATATGGGAAGACCACGTTGAGTTTCTCGTTTGGCAAGATAACCGGTCGGTAGATTTACTCAACGTTCTCGAGCGCGCGACACGCCATTGCCCATGGTCCGGGTCACTCTGGTCCCACCGGTTATTGACACTCGAAGCGGAAAACAAGCCATTCGAAGACCTTGAACTTGTCAAGCACACAGCCACTGGGTCTGGACTTCTGGAGCACACTGATTTGGATGAACTCATCAAGGTTCAGCTCGCCTGGTGTGGATATCTTCGGCGAAGGGCTTTCGATGACCCCAGAGCAACGGAGGATGATGTTGATGTTGCTGAGGTCGGAATTCGATCGGCTTTGGAGTTCGTCCGAGAGGTCGGCATGAAGAAGCATGGCAGAGAATGGACGGACCGGAAGTACCGTCTTGAGCGCGCCCATATCAAGTTCTGGCTCCAACGCGGTGACATCGATCAAGCCCGGCAGATTCAGGACTCTATCACCAAGTACCAGGAGGACTCTTACGACTTCTGGTATCGCTGCTACATATTCGAGATGCTCCTGTGGGCGCCACACGCAACGAGGGGCAAGCAAAATGCAGGTCAACCGTTATTGCCGCCTACCCAGGCCACTGCCATTTTGGAACGTGGCATGAAGCGCTTACAAACGATTGATCAACCAGAGCTGCTCATCGACATGTACATTAGCCATTGCGAGCAGCACGAATCGGCGTTAAAGGTACGTAGCGCGACGATTGAGCGACGACGAGCTGAGCGCATCGTGTCCGTCCGGAGGGAGAAAGAGCGAGCACTTGCGGCCGCTGCAGCTCCGCCACAAGACACGCCAGATAGCCAAGTCGGAGACAGCTCGACGAAGCGGAAACGAGAGGACGGTGACGAGGACGCAGTATTGAAGAAGAGCAAACATGTAGAGATTTCAGAGGCTTTTGACGGGGTCAATGGTCAAGCCAGAGTCGCGAGCGAAGCACCGTCGGAAGCTCGCTCTACAGGACCGAAACGAGATCGCGAGCACACTACAGTCATCGTGAAGAAGCTACCACTCAACACTACACAGACTCGAATACGCCAGTTCTTTACCGACGCAGGCACAGTCCGCAATCTAGTACTGAAAGAGGAGAAGGATAGTCTCACGGCTGTGGTGGAGTTTGAGTCACCCGAAGAAGCCCAGTATGCTCTGAGCAAAGAGGCGAAAGGATTCGAAGGTCACAACATATCGATTGAGCGAGGCCAAAGCACGACATTATACGTCACAAACTACCCTGCGCATGCCGACGAAGCCTGGATCCGGAACCTCTTCAGTCCATTCGGAGAAATTATCGGCATTCGCTTCCCTTCACTCAAGTACGATGCGCATCGCCGGTTCTGCTACGTTCAATTTGCTTCAGCTGAACAGGCGGTCGCTGCGACACAGCTGGACGATACTGACGTTGAAGGGTTGAAACTAATCTCAAAGATCTCCGACCCCAACGCCAAAAAGAAACGCGATGGCGCTACCTCCGAGGGTCGCGAAGTCTACATCTGGCATCTCAACTTCAAGGTCAAAGAACGAGAAGTTAAGGACGCCTTCTCCAAGTTCGGCAAGATTGAGAGGACCAAGTGCCCAACTATCAGGTCGACTGGCAACAATCGCGGTTTCTGTTATGTCGTTTACGACAACAAGGATAGTGCTGATGCAGCAGTGGCAGAAATGCATGAAAAAGAGTTTGCGGGCATGAAGATTCATGTCGAGATTGCAAAAGAGCGTCCTGACACGAAGCCAAAGGTGCAATCAACTCTCGAGAACACGGAAAATGCAGCCGCTCGCGAAGGTACTCCTGGACAGAGCGACGCTGCTCCTGAAGCCGCTATCAAGCCCGCATCCTTCATGGATCGATCCATTGCAATCCTCAACCTGCCTGACACTGTGCCTGACGTGCGCATTAAACCGCTTGTCGAACAGTACGGCTTCAAGAGGATCAAGCTCGAACCCCATCATGGTGGTGCGATCATTGAGTTCACAACCGTGGAAGGTGCTGGCAAGGCTCAGTTTGCGCTTGAGGGTAAAGATTTCGAGGGAAGGAAACTGCGCATCGGTACAGTCCAGGACCTCAACAAGCAGAAGGGAGAGTGGAAGGCGAGCAACAGCTTCATCCAGCCAAACCGTGTCAACCGACCTACTGCTGCTCGCGGTGGACGAGGACGAGGAAAGCCCGGTCTTGGTCGCCCTGCTATACCGAAAGGTGCTACAACAACAAATGGCGAGCCGAAGAGCAACGCGGATTTCCGCGCGCAGTTCTTGAAGGAGCCTGCGAAGGACGCAACCAAGGACAACGACAAAATGGAAGAGTAATGGCAGAGGATGGGAGTACGATCGCATGTCAAGGCCCTTGTAGGGCCTGACTGGTGTTTATCAAGGCGTGGGATTCAACGGCCTCTTACGGTTCAACTGCATACTTTGGCGTTTGAGGATTGGCTTCCCATGGATCGGAGCCGGTATGGTTGGCTTTCGATGTCCTCTTTCCTCTTGGTCTGGTGCTGAGCACTGTGTATGTAGTATAATATAATGAGTGTAAACTATATCCGAGTCTGATCTGCTTCACTGTGGTGCATGTAATGGACAAGTAAGAAGGGGCGGAAACCCGCCTAGACCACTACACGTGGTTCAACGCGCTGTACTATGGAAAGTGAGACACCGCCAAGCTATCATATAACCCTGACTCTTGCAGCGCAAGGCGAAAGCAAGCCCTTTGAACAGGCCGCCACGGAGGCACAGAGCGAAGGTGGGCCACGCGTAACCCCCATGTAGAATGTGGCTAGCTCCTCTCAAAGGGACGTGATAGTCAGACGCGTCCTGTGATAGTTAGAAGCGTCCTGTGATAGTCAGAAGCGTCCTGTGATAGTTAGAAGCGTCCTGTAATAGTTAGAAGCGTCCTGTGATAGGGCAATAGCGGGAACAACGCACAAGCATTGCAAGGGTGCAAGCCAAGAGAAGCCAAGGCAATACGGGCTTCTGAACTCCGCCGGCAGCAGGGTAAATCACAGATGCCAAGTACGAAGACCAAAACCATGCCGGACACTATGAACGGTGACGACGTTAGTGCTCCAGGATCGCTTAACCTGGTGGAGGGCGCGATCCATCGACGCCATTGTAGCGCCTCGGCCGTATGCACTCAACCGTCGTCTTATGCAACCGCTATGACTCGAAAAGTCATGTGTTGTGTTTGTGATAGCGTCTCCTCTTGTTTGTTCCTTGCGACTTGATAGACGAGACGACCGAGACTCACAAGCTCCGCAATCGTTTTGACCCCTACAGGTTGTCCATCTCGTACGTCGCTGTTGCGGCTGAAGGCTGACAAAGAAGAAAAGCCTGGTGAATGATCCAATTGTTTGTTACAAGCAGAAGCACCATGTAGAACCCTGGCGGAATAACTGGGTATTTACTTCGAATTTGGCGTAGTGTCGGCTGCACCTGTCATCGAGCAGATATCGATCCCTAAGATCCTGGCCCATTGGAACGAGCCGAAAGCTACGCGAACGGTAAATTGCCTTGGCCATATTCTAGCCAACTTCCTCGTCTCAACTCCATCCTGTACCACCCAACTACTAATACGGATCCACCAGGGCACCATTGAGTTTCGGGGCACTCACCTTCGAGCATTTAAACTCAAGTCATGTCCGTCTTTCCAAAGCGCTTCACTCGGTCTAGTATCGACCTTACGACGACACACCTACACGATCCAACCTACGACGGGGCCCACGGCTTCTCTCGTTCAGAACGACTACAACTTGTAGTTGGCTCGCATTCATCGCAACATGGACTGGCCATGGTTCGATCATGATGTCGACTTCAACATCCCGAATCAGTCTGATTCTACGGATGACGTTTTCGGTAAGTTCGCTTTTTCGATCAGCGTTTGCTGCCCTCAGCACCTCAGGGCCGTCGTAGCCCTTTCCCCTCCCCCAGAATGCAGGTTCAGTGACCAGCGCGACCCAAGACCAGGCTAATGTCTGAGTCGGAGGCGCGTCTGTTCCCTTCTGCCTCTCCTCCTCTTCTTCTTCTGTACATGAGCGCCGTATAGCCGTGTATTTACTGGGCACCCAGAAGTCTTCACCTCTTCGCATACTGGCGTAGCGGGCGATGGGTTGTCTACACTCGATCCATACCCCTCGACCCCATCCGCCGTGATGCATTCAGCTGAGCGTGACGCATGCCACATGGTATGGTCCATACATGGAAGGTCGGAACAATCTTCCTTCCAATATACCACTGGGTACGGTGGTACTCATGGGCAGACCTGCTGTCTGAATGACGTAGCTCCCATGGCTGAGTCACTTCCAGCAGATGCCAGGTAAGCGGGCTCGAGCATCCCCTTTGCCGACCAGTAGATAACAATCACGCAGCCGGGCACGATGCCAATCAATAGCGCCTGCAATGCCGGAAGAGAAGCACGGGTTTCCCATTCAGACACATGAACACGACGCTCTCTTGGATGCGATGGAACAACCGTTTCCGGTACCCCAGCGGCCTCATGCTCCTGCGCAGAGCATTTTCGCGGCCCAAAACACTCCGAATGACGCCCTGGATACTGGGCCAGCTGTTCCGGGCTCTAACTCCGTTTCCACCCGTCATATTGCTGTCGATATGACTGCCATTGTCGGTGCTATCCGCCCACGCGGCGGCATTGAATGTCAACACCCAGATTGTACGTCAACCTTTGGTCGCGCCGCAGAGCGTAACAGGCATTATCGTACATTGCATGCGTTACGAAAACCGGAGTTCTGGTGCAGTGATCCAACATGCGAGCGGAGCAGAGGAGGTCGAGCTTTCACTCGCAGTGATAAATTGAGGGAGCACGAAAGAAAAAGGCATTATGCTGACGGCTAACGCGGACGCGGGTGACCCATGGCAAGTTCCTGGGCTGACTTGCCGTCCTTTGGCATGGCAGAATCGTTTTCAGTATGCCCATGAAGCCTCTTGGCCCTGTAAATTGTTAGATGTGGAGTAGATAGTTTTTGTCCAGAGCATTTTCTTTGGTCGCTACATTTAGGTAGTGTGCTTGATATCTGCGCTCTTAATAAGATTTCTTCGTGAAACATATAAGCAAGCTACCGCCCAATGTCCAGTGATTAGTAACGCAGACGCTCCAGCATGGAATTCCTGAAGAATCGCAATGCTCTTGCGATTGACTTCTTGATCTCATCCAATTTACCCAGGAGGCGTCGTCGGTAGCTCATGCGTGAAACGACAGGTCGTGGCTACGGGGCGGGTGCCCGTCAGCCAACCAAACTGGACTAGCCCCCATGCTGCCAAGCAGACCGTATGATTACAAGGGGCAAGGTGCACATCCATGGATGCGCGTAGTAGCACAAGCGGCTCCACGATCCGGTGACGGGATGGAATGCGGTGGCCTAAGTTCTTATGTTACGCATTCGTGGCTTTGCGCGTCGAAATTTGTGAGAGAAACGTCGAGATGCTGGATAAGCTGTGGATGCACGATGAAGATAAGATGGCTGGGGAGTTGCTACGACGTGATCTCTTATCGATAAGCGCGAAGCGAAGCGAACCTTGGAAGCCTGCAGGTGCGCCGTTCTGACATGCCCGCTTGGGACGTGCCCGGGCTTTGGGACGTAAAGCAAACTATTCACCAATCTGTACCATGGAGTGCGATATGTGATCGGAGATGGGGTCGGTTTTGAGCGAGTGACATTTTCATTTGTTCATAACAAGATTGTGCTGACGTCCACACAGAAGCCTACCTACCTAGGTAGGTAATGCTCACCCTCGAGTCCAAAGGGAGACAATGAGTGCATCTCCAGCTTTAAGTACCTGTGAGCCAAATTAGGACGCGGGGGCGGCAGCTCCAATGACAGTCTTGCCAGACATGGTCTCGAGACGCTTGAACCCGCCATGCTGCTTCACACCCTCCTGCAGCTCGACCATTCTCTTCTGATCGCCAGTAGGGTCGTCAGCTTCCTCCTCCAGACCCCAAGCCAAGTACTCATTGGTGTAGTTAGGCTTGAAACTGTCGTCCAACACACCGAGCCTCTTGCCGTAGCGGGTAACCTTCTCCCAATCACGCTGAACATTCTGAAGATCGGGGCTGAAGTACGCGAAGCTGCGCTCGAAGATCTTGCGGTTGGTAGGCGTGTTCATGGCCGACTTGAAGTTGCAGAACTCCTCCCAGGCTTGATCAGGGGACGCGAGGACGAAGTCAGTCGCGCGCTTGCACGCGCGAAGGAAGGCGCGGACTTTCTCAGGGTTCTGCTCGATGAAAGCGTTATTGCCGATGTAGAGGATGCTGCAGAAGCAGCAGCAGCCGAGTTGAGCGAGCTCATCGATGCGCAGCATCTTCACTTCGTCGCGCGAGCGGTTCTGGCTGACGAGCCACTCTTCAAGCTCGACCATCTGGACGTTTTCGAGACCGATGCCGGCGTCGATTTCGCCAGTGATGATGGAACGCGTCACGTTCATACCAACACGGACGGCCTGGTAGTCATCGGGTGACATGCCATAATGCGCAGTGAGTTCGTCGAGCTGAATCTTGCCGAACTCGCCGACGTAGCCGATCTTCTTGCCCTTCAGGGTGGTGAATTCGGGAGTAATACCAGAAGATGTGAGGTACACGACGCCAGTAAAGGGCTCGTTGAGAAGAGAGCCAATTGACTGGACTGGAAAGCCACGGGCAGCAGCGGCAAGAGTATGGATCATAGCCTTGAAGCCGAGATCGACCTTGCCAGATCCGATGATCTCAGTGACGTCCTAATATGATAAGCTCGTGTGGTCAAACGGCTAGTATTGAACATACACTAGGATCATTGGGCTCAAGAAGAGCGACCTTGATGCCTTCATCCTTGAAGTATCCCTTGCTCTGAGCAAGATAGAGAGGAGCGTGATATGGCGTAGCGTGCCTATTTACAGTCAGCATACACCTCGCTCGATCAAAATGCAAAGCGCACCAGTTGGTCAAGAAGGTGATCTTATCAGTCGACATCTTGACTTGGGTGCAGAAGCTGAGCTAGTCAGTACGCCAACATAGTGGGGAAGGGGTCATCATGAAGCAGCAATAGTCCTTCGCGCTGGAATTATCCAGATCAAGTTTGAACGGTATGATCTCAGAACAAGCCATCAACGATCAGGTCCCTCCCCGGGACCTGATCCGCTGATGACTTGAACACCCGCCATGCTTTGCTTCTGATGGTTGAGATGGGTACCTGATGATGCCATGCTGGGCACCTGTTACTTGACCGAGATTCAATCCTGGTGTGCGAGGAGGGAGGCCGGGTAGGCTTCGCTTTGCTGGTTCGATGATAGCATCGTACCAAAGTGGGTTGTATTGGGTTGGTGAAAGCTGAATATGTGCGATTGGAAAACGTTAAGGAGCAATTGAGGACGCAGCTTGAAGCCACGGCTAGAGCCGGATACTTATACTTTACTTCTCATACTGTCGACTGAGGTCATGTATGGATAAATTGCTCACTGTAGGTGCATGTGTTGGGACATGGTGGGGCAATGAGGGGTACACTTCCCGCGTGGGTCAAAACACATCACTGAACCACAACACGCGTATCATCATGCAGACGGGATGTCCTTCAGCAATCATCATTCGTTCGGATTCAAGTACGGATTATCCGTAAGCCGTGGCTCTAACTTGGGTGGTCGGTCTAGGTTTGCTGAACCACGTCCTCGGGAACTCACACGACGATCTTTTCTTTCTCCAGCGAACGGAATACTCCATCGAGATAGCTGCGTCGCGCCAAAACCAAACGAGTAAGAAGAAACATTTGTCTACTGCTTCAATTCCGTGAGCCGATGTTTTACGTGTCATTGAGGCGACAGCCAATGACACGTACTATGACCAAGACCTCCGCTCCGAATATCGGGAGTATGATGAATCGTGAGTATCTTGCAGATGTACGGAGTCGTGGATTGGAACAAATTGGTTGGGACGCATTGGGATGCCATCGGAATTATAACGCTACCATTCTTTCTTGCAACCACCCGTTTAAGCCCTGCCACATCGAGCTATCCATGTCTTTATCTTCTAATTTCTGGCAGAAGTGCCTCAAAGCCTCGCACCTCTGCTTAATCCATTCTATCTTCTCCTCTTCGCGACCACCCTTCATCTCTCCAGCAATAGCGTGTGCTACCTTTGCTTCGCATACTGGGCACAGATATGGCGGTTGTCTTACATCTTCCTTCATGCTACCTGTACCCTGCATATTACATGCATAGTATACACAATGGTCGAGCGCGAAACAATGTCCTAGCTCATGTGACACTGTACGCGCGAGACGTGAGAACCAAAGCGCCTGGACTTCCTGCACCTCTGATGTAGGCTTATATGCTGTTGCGGCCTGGGTAGCCGCTTTCATCGCTCCACTCTTGCTTAGTTCTTTCTGTTTCTTCGTCGCAGGCTTTGCCTTTACATCCTCTACAGCACATAATTCATCGACAAAGGTCTTGCAATGACTCCACGGCCACATGTGGTTTCGATCGATCTCCTCTCCCCTTCGTTCATCCAGTATTGGGTTATATCGCGCAGTCTGCACGACAGCCACTCTGCTGCCTCCATACGCCCTGCCACAGCAGAACTCGTCATCGTCAGACTCATAGATGTCGTGGTCGACTAGGATGACCATTGCATAAGCGTCATCGGGAAGGATTGAAATGGCTGTATCGAGGATGTCGTCTAGATTCAGTTGAGCAGGGAAAGCGGTGTCTGGCGCAGGGCGAACGCGGATTCTGGTACAACGATCTCCATGTGATAGAGCGATATACTTCGGCAGAGCGGCACTTTGACAGCCCTTGGCAGACTTGGTATTGGAGCCCCACGATGTCCAGGTCAATGGCGTGGGGAAGAGGTGAACAGGCATGTCGTGATAAAATGCAGTGAGATAGTCGACAAAGTGATCTGCAGATGGAGGAGATGGTCCAGCTTTATCCTCGCCTTTGACTTCCTCGTAACCGGTTGGTACTACCCAGTGCCTCATGAAGTCCGCCTTGAAACTGATCCCAGGCACTTGCACTACATACAACTTATTCCTTCTTGGCGCCGACGACATTTTGTTCCTACACTCCTCGTTCAGCCAATCCTTCTTACTCTGCGGTAAAGAATCTGGATCATAGTTGAGCTCGTCGTGAGGTAGGAGTAGAGGAGCGGGAAATGTTCCAATGGGACGATCCTTGACACTCTTCGGCTCTCTTCCAGTTGTCGTTTCTGCTGCTGCGCGTGCTGCGGCATCCGGCTGTTCATATCCAGCTAATTCTGCGAAGGGCGACGGATTCAGTTGCAGAATGGTATGCTTGCATGCCATAGCGAGTGTCAGTACAAAAGGAGCCGAGAACAACGGAAGGGAGACGGGAGAAGGATAAGAACTGCTGCCTAAATGATGGCTGCTTGTCTTGGACGCTAGGCAAACCCCCGCGATTCATGTCTACACCTCGCTTCATCCTGCCGGCTCATCGTACCCAGTTTCCGCCTTCCTTCCCTGTGTTCCTTCGGCGGCTGATTTACCATAGCGGATCGTTCCTTCCCCAGTATAGCAGACTTCCCCCAATCGCCAAGCTGTTGAAGATGCCAACGTAGTGACCCGCGATCTTGTCCTTCGCTCCGTACGCGCTGACGATAACCGTATCAGCGACGGTTGCGACCAATCCCGCCATGACCGCAACTCCCAAGCTCCTCCTGTCTCGCAGGACCAGACCAAAGACTGCCAATAGAACGCCGTTCTGAACGTTGCGCGCTGCTATCGCTGCAACCAGGGCTTTCTTGGTCTTCTGATCCTCGTCGTAGGTGCTTTCGGTATTGCTGGAGCGTTTTGCGGATGCGGGCGATGTGTCGGACTCGGCCGAGATGGGCAGACCGTAGCCATCAGCGAAGAAGGAAGGGTTTCGTAGACCTATTATTCCGAAAGGGACGATTTCGAGGGTTGCGATGAAGAGCGCGAGGCATTCCGCTGGCGGAGGTAGGTGGTGGAAGAGGTTGCGGGCTTGAGTCGTCATGGTGGCGGACTGATTTGACCGTCAGGAAGGTCTCGGAAGGGGTTGCAGCGCTGCAAGACTTGAGAAACGGGACGAGACATGATGTGGTCTTATAGAAAGAGATGCCATCGATGCAGGAGAGATGTAGGTGTATGTAGACTTCCTCCAACTCCCATTGGCTGACGAGTTCGGACTTCGGCTGCGGGGATCGCAGGGCTGTCGCGTCGACGCGTCTTCCGCCCCATCGCTTCGCGCCTCACAGCTTCTGCAATGAGTGAACACCACTGTGAAGATTAATACATGATTACTACTTCGATCCCCCTGACAAGATCCCGCGATGAAGCCTTCCTGGCATACGTTACAGTGAACACGCGTTGAACCACGCCCCGGGCGATGCCAGCTTCTCCTCCACATCCAGCGGGCGCGCTGCAATGCCGAATGAAGGGGGAACATGCTTTCACAAGAAAGGAAGCATGGATGAGCATAGGAGAGTTCTGGAAAGAGATGGAGAGTGAAGATCGACGTCCGTCAAACTGGACCTGGAGTGCACGAGGAAACAGGGTCGTAGAGGCATTATGGCTGAGTGCATACCGGGAGGCGTATATGTGCTATGGCTCATTCACTCGGTGGGGATGAGTGGGAATATACGCTCGCAGTAGCGATTGTCTTGGGATTGGACGAGAGTTACTTCCTTGGAGCGGATAGGCACATGGCAAACTCGTCTATCCGCGGTTTCGTCCTATCAGAGGTTCGTCATCTCAAATATCAGCGCACGTAAACGCATCGCTACCATAATTTGCTTGGGATTGTGAAAGGCTTTGGAAGCGGTACAATGCTTGTTTGCATGTGCGGTGAAACTAGGTTCAGCTTTTGACAGTCGACTGCGCCTGCTTTCTGTCGAATTTTCCCTCGTGTGGCGCTCTTTCCTTTCGAGGTTGTCTTCACTCGACCCTCAACACCACGGAAAGCTTGGACTCGCCTCGCACACTTCCGCCTTCACACGCACTCCTCAAATTTGCTAGCCGCTCCCTCCCCAGTACATAATCCGCCCTCCCTCACCTTTCTTCTTCCTCTCCCCACACTCGCTCCTCAACTGCGCAGCTACGACTCTTGCGTTCTGAAGCCCCCACCGCCAAAATCTTCTGTCGACCTTGCGCAACTTGAGCCTTCCTTAGGCGATCTGTGTCCATCAAGCGAGCTTCGCCCTCACCTCCGCTTCCCACACCTCACGAACCGCGCCCCGACGCCCAACTCCCACCTCACTCGTCGAACGATCGCATAAGATGGCGACGGCTCCTTCCTTCTGGGCTGCTGGCGGCAGCAAGATCAAGTCCGCCGAGTCTCCAAACCCCAAGATCGCAGAGGCGCCACCCAAGGCGAAACCAGACCCTCAACAGAAGAAGGGCCTCGTACTGAAGGGTATGACCAACGGCCAGACTACGAACGGCGCATCGAACGGTCTTTACCCAAAGGCCGCCACCGGCAAGAAGACCAACTGGGCCGACGAGGACGATGACGATAATACCTTCATCGCCGAGTTCATGAGCCAAGATCCCAAGATTGCCACTCTCGAGACCACTGTTGCCCTCAAAGAGGAGCGCGTCAAGGAGTTGGACGGCCTGGTCGAAAGCAAGACGCTTCGTATCGCGGAGCTGGAAGGTGCAGTTCAAGATAAGGACGCTCACATTGGCGATCTCGAGACGGATATCCAAAAGAAAGATGTCGAAATCGAGCAGCTCAAGAAGGTGAATGGCGACCAGCTCGCTCACAACCAGGAGCTTCTGCGCGAGGCTGGAGAAAAGAACAGCCAGATCAAGAACCTGAAGGCTGAGCTCGAAGAGAAGGTTTCGACGATTGGTGACCTCGAGCAAGCAAAGAAGGCCGCGACCATTAGCAACCTTGAGCAGGAGTCGGCTGCACTCGTCCCGGTGCCCACAAATGATGAGGCAATCACTGAAGATGAACCCAAGACTGTGGTGTCGGAGAGCATCAAGTCCAATGGCACCGACG